GTGAGCAGACCTCTTTCTCACCAGCCTTATCTCCTCTAGGGTTTAGCAACCAGGCTGGGATTGGGATGGAGCACATGCTATGAAGGCAGGAGGCCCTCCAAAGGCTCTACTTCCAGCCAGAGGAAGTCCCAGGGAGACAGGAAGAAGACATAAAAGGAAAGAGCAATTATAGTAGGTCACAGAAGCAGCAGCCAGAGATAGGAGAGGCCCACAGTCTGACAGATGTATACTTCCAAATAGTTGGACTTTGAGCTAGAAGGGTGGACATGTTAGGACAGGGACTCTTGCTTTTGATTTATAAAGGTTAGTAAGAATTTCTTCATAGGATGTCCTAGCACCAGCCAAGGGGCCACTGCATCAAAGTCAATTCAGGAGGCACAGAGCTGGATTAGGCAGAGAGAAACCCTGGGTTTGACTGTACTGAGCCTAGACTATGCACATGGGACTGAAATTCAGAGGAGTCTGTAGCAGCATGCAGACTATGAGGAGGCCAACTCAGCCAGGGAGCAACACTGGGCTCAGTGCAAGCCAAGAGATCAAAGCTGAGTCATGGTAGCCACTGGCTTCATTCTGCAGCCACTAGCTGAATACCTAGAGGTAGGACCAATCAACTTCCTGCAGTCCAGGCAGCCCAAATGGCCACTCCTCAAGGGAGGCCCTCACACCCAAGGATACCATGTGGACATCTGGATTCATCAACCCAGCTCCTGTCATGTTACAGCATCAGCCACCAATGCAACATTTCCTCCCAAGCATAGCTTGGAGTGGGGAGAAAATGTCAGAGATCCAGCCTTTTTAAATGAAAAAAGGAAAAAAAAAAAGTTGAGAATTAGTTTAAAGAAACTCTTTAAACTATTAAGCAAAATTAGTTTTACTAATATGGCTTTTTTGTTTAGATTTTAAAAAAAATGTTTTTGTTACCAAACAGGAAAGATCAAATCAAAGTTAAAAAAAATAAAAGTAACTAAAAGTAAGCAACGTCAAAAAAGTATTAATAGCTATAATACCTTTGCAATGGAATCACAAATGTCCTCAATCTACACTCATATCTTTGTATTCGTCCCAAAAGTCTTGACCTTTTTTGAATATAGGAATGAATAAAGCTCATAAAAATAATGTATTATAAACAAAACAATCCGTGGAAAAGCGACTTTTTTTTTTTTTTTTTTTTTGTGGTCCTGGGAATTTAACCCATAGGTCCTTTGTGACTAAACTGCATCCTCAGCTCCTCAACTCTTTTATTTTGTGGCATAGTCTAAGTTGCCCAGGCTGGCCTGGAACTTTGTATTTTCCTGCCTCAACCTCCCAAATTTCGGGGATTACAAGGGTGTACCACTGCACTTCTCAACAAGTTATTCTTAAAATACAAAAACAACAACAACAAAAAACTATAGTAGCCTAAGGCTATTTAGTTTAGGTACAAAACCACTTATATCTACAAGTTGCTAAGTGAATCATAGCATGGTAAACAAGTGGTAGCTACTATGAAAATAATAAGTTGATTATGTTTGATCTATTTCCTTTAAAAAGTCAGAAATTTGTAATATATTTAAGAATACATTTTGGCATTCAAATGGATGTCCTTTGGTCATGCCTCCGATTTTCTAGTTACAATGGCTATTTATTCATTCCCTTATGATGGTTGATAGATAGAATACCATAGAAATGGATATTTTAAAGCAATACTGTGCTCAAATTAGTAATTTTTTTCAATTAGATGCTCCTACTTCTTGAATGCTATTCAGATTAGACCAAAGAGTATCAAGTTCAATTGGGAAAGATCCAGATTTTCTGAGGCCTGAAGATTATATAATTCAGATTATTCTTTAAGAAAAAAAAGACCTACATTACAAATACAAAAGGAATTAGAAAAGACAATTCTTATTTTAATTAAAAATCACAACAAGTTGGGTTCTGTGTCACATGCCTGTGATCCCAGCTGCTCAGGAGTTTGAGGCAGGAGGATCCTGAGTTCAAAGCCAGCCTCAGCAAGACCCAGTCTCTAAATAAAATATAAAAATGGCTGGGGATGTTACTCAGTGGTTAAGTACCCCTGGGTTCAATCTCCAATACCAAATTTTAAAAAATCACAATAAATGATACATTTGAAAAACAATGATTCTGAAAATTAATGAACTGCCTGGTATAACTGTGTGAGACTTTTTTTCCTATGTATTTTAGGTTTATATTCTGATTTCTTTTTTTACCTGAAAATGGTTTTGTTCTTTATGTTCTATAGAATTAAAAGATATTTTGATCTTTCCATTAGCAAAGTTGATAAAATTTGTTTTTATTATTGATAGTTAAGAAGAGTTTATTTTCAGTGCACAGCTCACTCTTGGCAAAGTTACATATACTTTTGGATTTTTTTGTCAAAGTTGGAAAATTTCTATGAAATTTCTTTCACATGTAAAGAATAAGAGGTGGGAATATTTTCCACAGAAATTTTGGATCCACAGATTTCAAATATCATTAATCTATTTCCAACATACTTCAGTGAGAGGTCCTAAAGTCTACAATTGTTTGGTGATATGATTTCCAATCTTTCACTTTTGTGTCATAACACCAAGTAAAACAGGTGACTGTAAGCCTTCAAGCAATTCGAATAGGTGTCACTATTAGAATGGGCTGCATGTACCCAGGTACCACGTGATTTTATTGCAGTTTCCCCTTAGCCAGATCCCCCAAATGGTCTCTGGAACTATTCCAGTTCTTCCAGACATGAAGGGAATTATGACAAATAGGCAGTTAGCAGTCTTAGGGCTGCTATAATGTAATATAATAAACTGGGTGGCTTATAACAATAGAAATTTATTTATTATGAAGGCTAGAAGTCTGAGATCAGGTGTCAGCATGGCTGGGTTCTGGTGAGGATTCTCTTCTGGTTGCAGAACTACCATCTTTTCTTTATATCCTCATGTGGTAGAAAGAGTGTTAGAGAACTCTCCAGGGTTCCTTTTATAAGGCTACTCACAAGGGTTCCACCTTCATGATGAATCACTTCCCACAGCCCCCCAACTCCTGATACTATCCTTTTGGGGTTAGGAATCCAATAGATGAATTTTGGGGAACACACACATTCAGTCCACTACAAACCTCTTGAGAGGATCTTATTTTTGAAGCTTTTACAAAAGTATAAGACCACGCGTATTTGTTTCTAATACCCCGCCTGTGATACTGGAAGGTGTGCTAAGTTTAAGTTGCTTGGAATCTGCCTTTGGGTTTAGCTTTGGACACTGTGCTTCAGAAGCACATCCATAGAAAGGTGCTAACTTAGGATGATGAAGGGTTAAGACATTATCATATGATAAGCAGTTAAAGCCCATGCAAAATCTTGGAAAAGTGACAATTCAAGTGGCTCACATGTGTGTCTTTAGTATTTCAAGTCTTGTTAGGTGGAAGAAGTATTTGGAAACAAAGAATAACTTTTTAATTTCCTAATGATAGGCCAGTTTCAATGCAGAATCGGCCTGTTTATGACATACTGAGTTCCTTATAAGAGTGGGTCAAGAAAAGAATCTAACCTTTACACACTTTTGCAAGTCTATTTTTTTTTTTTTAAACTGGGGATTGAACCTAGGGATGTTTTACTACTAAGCCACATCCTCAGTCCTTTTTACTTTTTATTTTGAGACAGAGTCTTGCTAAATTGTTGGGATTGGCCTGGAACTTTGCATTCCTCCTACCTCAGTCTCTGGAGTTGCTGGGATTACAGGCATGTGTCACCACACATGGTACAAGTCTCAAATTTTAGGATGATTTTGCTATTAATTTCATTTGGTGCCTTAGTCACAATTGTTGATATGTTGATAGTCTTAAGGAAGTTGGGGCTGCTTTCTAAGTAGGGATTTTTTTTTTTAAACTAGGGCAGTGATAGTCATCCACTTTACCTCTTTGATGTTTATAATTTTTAGTTTAAAGATACATCATGGGGCTGGGGTTGTGGCTCAGAGGTAGAAAGCTCACTACATGCATGAGGCTCTAGGTTCCATCCTCAGAACCACATAAAAATAAAGATATTGTTTCCATTTACTAAAAAAATAAAAAAGGATACATTGTAATATAATGGTTAATCAATATAGGAGGCTAAGGATTGCAGGTGAGGGATTGCCAGGTCTAAATTATAGAAAGACTATCACATGGGATTCCTATTTTTGGGGTAGAAACTGGAATTGAACCTTGGGTCAGGAGGAATTCAAGGATTCTTGGGATCATAGATTCAGGTGACTAAGGGCTGTTTTGTGACATGTGACAGAACACAAATGAAACTGGCTTGAGGAAATAAAAAGAGATAATTTATTGGTTGTAGGAGTAGAGCTCATTGCAGACACATTTGCCTCCTGAGAAGGTCAGACATCTTCATCCTCTCTTCCTCAACTTTTCTTCCTTTAAAGTTAGCTTCAGTGGCATGCACTAGTAGTCACTGTTCCACTAGTTTATATCTTTCTAGTCTACTTATCCCAGAGTTTGGTTTTCTGAAGTGATCCTACAACAGCCCCAGACTGAGATTCTGAACCAAAATGCCTATCCCAGAACCAATAACTGTGGTCTGGAATATGATGATGACTGGCTAGTCCTGGGGAGGGAGAGTGGGAGGTGTCAGTCTCTTGGAACCACAAAGAATCATTGTGGGGGAGGGGGAAGGGCAGCTCCCATAAGAAATATAAACCACTGTTACCAGAAAATGAAGTGGGCAGGGATGGATATCACTGACCACTCATACTTAAAAATCCATTATTTGGGAGAAGATGTGTTTTTGAACTGTCTTCATATAGGCATAGTTAAACTGCAAATTCGAGTAAATCTTTCCCATATCTGGAGCTATACCATTCAAGGAGAGGGGCAGGGGGAGGGCAGTGGCCTTACATTTCAACATTTTTCTTTTTTCCCCCCAAGTGGGAATGAGTCAATGAAGAGGTTACAGAAGTACATACAAAGCCGAAAGCATTGACAATTTTAAATTTTAGTGCCCTCTTAATCAAAGGATCTCGGAACACTTTGAATAATACAGTTTTCATTTTGACCACACCCTGTGCAGGTGACATAACTATTACCGTTTTGTCCTCGCAGTTGGGGAAACCGAGGCATGACACCCCTTACTCAGCTTTCTGGTAGGTTTTAGGAATAGTCCTCCCCACATGACCTCAGGGGGTCTCCTTCACCCTCGGAAGCGTCCCTAGAAATCCTCCAGTCCTTTGGCTTCCCAGGAGGAAAGCAGCTCAGGCTCCGCCGCAGCCTTGGGACTCGTCCTCCTCCCAGCTGCACCCGCCCTGCTCTAGCGCACCTTCCTCAGTGAAGTCCGGCTGACCAAGGTCTGGCTGTCTTTCCTGTCCTTTTCCCCCCATTTCCCTTCCACCGGTCCCCGACGTTCAGGCAGCCCTCAGCCAAGCGCCCTCAAGGCGGTGCGGGCAGATGCTGCCACGGCGTCTAGCAGGATGGGCGCCGGCACCGCTAGAGGTGAGCGGGCCTGGGCGCTGGGTTGGGGTTGGGGCGGGAGGAAGGTGGCGACCGGAGGGAGGCCGGCGGGGAGCAGCGAGAGGGAGGCGACGCAGGCGGGTCGGCTCGC